ATCTCTTAAGAGTGTTTAGCCAGTGAATCATCTATGCTGTACTTGTGCTTATGTTAATACATTTCCTTTTTAAAGGAAAAGTTGAACGTTTATCTTCAGTATTGTTTTCAAATCCTTGGGGTTATTCTTTCCTTTTTTTTCTCTTTTTCCATCCAGGCACCACAGCAGCTAACTAGTTCTGGTGTGTTCTAGATGGAGGATGGTGTTATCCCAAGAAGCCTGAGCAAGCTCTGTCCGTGCTTTTCACATCAAAAATGCACCAATGCAACCGAATGCTTTTGGGCCGCTTCACCTGCTGCGTGACGATTGTAAAACCCGCATTTATACTTTGCACAAATAAAATACAAGGAAGAGGCAAGCACGTGTCTTAAACTGTTTGTAAGTAGTTTCCCACAGTCGCGTGGTTAGGCGTGTTTTGCAAAGTGCAAAATGGCTCTGCTGCCCGAAGGCACGGCGTGCCGCACCCCTGGGATGCCCAAGGCGCTGTGCTGGGGGCAGGCAGCCCGCGGCGGGGCTGGGAGCGTTACGGTCGCCTCCGCCCCCCACCATTTTATGACTGACCGCTCCAGCGCGGCCCGCGCGCCGCCCCACTCTCTGCTCACAGCGGGCCGTGGCGCCAGCAGGCGGCGCGCTCCATACGCGATGGCGGCAGCTCGTTCCGCACCGCCTCGCTCGGCGCTGTGCGGTGAAGCGGTGGCGCGAGCTCGAGGCGGCTTCGCAGCCGCGCGCCCCGGCGCGGAGCCCCACAGGCGCGAGGCCGTCCAGTCCCGTCCCGCTGCTCCGCCCCGGGCGGCCCCGCCGGGCTCCCGCACATCGTACGGGGCGGCTCTGTCGCTTTCGGTGCCTGGAAGGCGTTCCCGAGCATCGCGGCGACGGTAGGAAGCCGTTGGAAGGGGCGTTTGGGAGCCGGTCTGATTGTTGTGTGTTCTCACAGCGCTGCAGCGATCGCTGTGCGGCCATCAGTTGCGTCGTTGCGCTGATGTGAACCGCCCTCACACATCAGAGGTGGAATCAAGAATTATTATTAATGTGTAAGTGGGGGGGGGGGGAAAGCCCCGATCTTTTTTTTAATTGTCATGGGAAACATACTTTTATTTAGAATACACTTCTTTTGTGGTATTCACTCCCTAACCGGCATATTTGCATCCCAGGGATCCTTAATTAGATCCCTGGTAGCAATGTTAAACTCCTGTGGGTGATGCAGGAGGAGCTGATGGTTGTGCCGGGGCTCTCTGTCCCCGTTTTTCCTCCCTTTAGTGTATTTTGGCTGCTGTCTCTGCTGCCTTCTGCTTTGTGCAGCCCTGAGGGCAGCCCAGCCGTCCCGATCTTGAAGTGCAAGGATGTTGTCACCAATGTTGCTTGTTTTGAAGAGAAACTTCATCCCTGAGGTTGGAATTGGAATGTAATCACTGAAAAACACCCATTGCTTGAAAACTCTGGTCATCACTGTGCAGCAGAGTCAGCATGTCCTTCCTGCTCATCCCTGGGCTGTGTCTGGCTGTTTTTGCTGCTGTGACGCTCACTGAGAACTGTAGGACATCTCTAAAATTAATTGTCTGCCACAAAGTCACAGAAAATGTATCCTGCACTGTTGAGAGGCTTCCTTGTTGCATACGAAATAATTAAAAAGCCGAAGACTAGTGTGATTTGGATCTAATCTATCTTACTGAATTAATTTTAATTATTACAGAAAAGCCAGTAGAGACTTGATGAGTGTAAGCCAGGGAAAAACCATGCTTGTCTCTGCTGCACAGCTGTACTATGTTAAGTTATATGGAGCCATTTAACAAATGTTCAAGTTAATCAAAAAAGGTTTTTTTTAATTTGCTTAAACATTGCACATGTAATGGCAGGCTTTATGGAGTTGGATATACCTTATAGCCCTATATAACTGTATTTTTTAATGTCTTATGAAGTGGGAATGTAAAAGATGCTTGCTTGCCCCACGTGGGAGCCTGTGGATTTCTGGTGTGTCTCTGTGATGGTTGAAACAGCTGGCAGTGTTTAATAAATCGTATCTCCATGTATTTACAAATAAAGATTTCAGAAATCACTTTCTGATAATGATGCTGTACGTGCCTCCAAAAATGTGTTCGTGTGACAAAGACTGTGCATGGTTTGGTAGAAAAACGATGCCCGAGTAATAGCGCTTGGCTTTCAATTCCTTGTTCCGCAGTAAGCATCCCGGCGTTCGTGTTTATTTTTACATTTCCTTTTGCTATTGTTTCCAAGCTCCAGGGCACGGCGTCGTGAGGAAGTAGAGGCAGCAGCTTTCCTGTTGCGCTCTGCGGTCACTGGGTGGTGCTGTTTCTCCTCTCGCTTTGCAAATCGCTCCTTGTAGCAGTTCTTAAGGATGTTTTGAGAAGCAAAAGGGTTGGACTTGTGGGCTCCTTTTTGAGACTGTTTTTCTGAGACTGTGTAGTATATATACGTACTTTGCTCAAAGAAAGCTAATGCTTCAGAGAAAGTGTGCAGACTTCCCAAGTTCTGTAGTTATGAACTGTGTTGCACAGGTGTAGCTGCCTTAGCGTGGTGGAAAGCGTTTGCTTGCTTCTCAAGGGGCAGCCAAGGAGAGACAGGTTAAGAATAGAACAATTTCATAGGCTTCAGAAAAAATCATGAATAAAGCTGCACAGTAAGTCAGCTATGGCTCTGGGTTGGAACCCGTGCAGACCATGAGCCTCTGGGAAGGTGAGAAAGGCTTTACATTAAATGCTCTGCAGCCACCATGCGGGTAGCTGCTCTGGGAGCTGCTCAGTGCCCCAAGGCTTTCATGCCACCAGCTGCTTGTGAATTTGTGCTTACCTGTTAGGAGCCAGCCCTGTAATGGCCACTCATGTTCAAGAAGTGGAAAGCAGAGCCTGGTGCTTGATGCCTGTAGGCTGATGGGCCCCATGAGGCCATCCATGGCAGGCTGTGGTTCTTCACCAAGCCCTAGAGCTGAGCACGGAGGGATGGGCTGTGCTGCAGAGCCTTCTCTTGGCTTCTGCTGGGCTCCATCAAAGGGTGGGCAATTCACACTGTTTAATGAGTCTGTTTATGTGACATCTTTTGAAATTTGGATCGTATAAATATGGCCCCGTTTAAAGAAGTCTGCAGGATAGAGTGCTCTCCGGTTTACATTTTCTAGTAATGAACATAAATGATGGTCTTGTTTTAAAGCAGAAGAAGGAAGCCAAGGAAAAATGAAGAGAAAGTGACGTTAGGATAGTCCTTGCAGGTTAATAATGGAATCTCACAGTGGCTTTTTGAAAGCCTGTGTCCCTGGAATAATCCTGGTGAAACCCCTGCTGTTCCCAGGTTCCTGCTGCACGTACCAGACATTACCACATCCATCACTCAACCCTGCTGGGAGGAGGGCTTGTGCTGTCATGGAGCTTGTGGAAGAAATGGCATTTCCCCTTTGCTTCTTGCAAAGCACAGGAGGGTTTGTGTCGCTAAGGCTCTCTCACTGCGTGTGATATTTTTGCAGAGCACAGGAGAAAAGCATTATCTTGTCTGTTGCCTTGACGTTTGCAGATTATGCATTACTGAACGTATTACTCTCAGCTTGCCTTGGTGTCTTTGAAATCCACTGGTCAGTTTCCACAGAATCGGGTGAATGGTTGAGGCTGCACAAGATTCCTGAGCAGCCGGGGCAGAAGAGCTCCTGCCAGTATTGCCCAGCGAGGGAGGAGTGCTGCGTTGTCTGATTGATGCACTCTGAGGGGCTGCGTGCTATGGGACTCTGGGACATTGGAAAAGCTGTTTCCATTGGAACGATGTGCCTTTCACTTCACTGTCCCCAGCAGTTCAATGCCAGCCATCTCGTGTGAAGAAGTCTGGTTGCTTACCTTCCTGCTGCTGAGTTTAATTATTTTTATAATTTCTTGGCAGGTTTTCTTGCATCCTCACAATGAAGGTGGCACGGTGCCATGTGCTGTTATCCTGGTCCTCATGGGGACTTGCTGCTCCTGGTGCAGAGTGACTTCCTTTTAGCCCACCAGCATCCCAGATAATGTCCAATATAATGTTGTCTGTCTACACAGAGAGAACAACTTGTGCCTTGTTGAATTTAGGGGGAAAAGAATCAGTCTTTGTTTATAACTTCACTTTTGCAAAGTGGTTGTTAGAAGTACACAGCTGATACCTCATGGATACCACACATCTGTGTTGCAGCTTTCTGCAGTGATAAATGCTTAAATGCGAAGCTTACATGTTTAGCAATGAACAATGGATTTGAAGTTGAAGGCTAGTTGTTAAATGAGATTTAACTCATTGATCTTGCTATAAAATTAATAAAAATGCTATTTTACTTGAACCCAGAAAGCTTCGTAATAGTAAAAGAGCACTATTTTCTACCAGTGCCTTAGCTGCAGTTAAGAAGCTTTGTTGTTGTTGTTGTTGTTTTTTAAGCTCTTATATTTAAGGAGCTTTTTTAGCAATGCAAAGTTGCTTGCCTGAAGTAAATCCTTCAGATCTGATTTACACACGTGAGATGTGATCCATATAGAACTTCTTGTAACCTAGTGCAGCCGGAGCAACTTCTGGAATGAGCTTAGCTGTGCAAGGTGTGCCATAGCACTACGCTGTTCATAGTGGATGAAATGTAACAGTAAGATGTTATGATCCTCGTGTTGGCAGCTTTTAGTAGAAAAGTCCTGGGCTTTGCCTGCCAGCTGGAACCAAGCAGTTAGAAGCTGACATTAGGCTGATAGTAGCTGCTCACGTGCAACTTTTCCTTACAGAAAGCATATATTTCTTGGTTGTGTGGGCTGAGGTTCTTCACATGTCAAATTCAGGTGTTCTGTAAGCACCTGCTGCTAGGCTGGATAAACCTTGTCCTTCTGCACTCGATGCAATTTGCCATCACCTTCAGCAGAAGCATATTTCTCACTTTCAAAAACGCACAGTGAGACTCGGGAGTCCTTATCTTATGAAATTTGAGGAGATAATTTTAATTACCTTCTAATAATTAAATTACTAAATTCAGAAAACCAAATCAGCAAAACGATCTACAGTATAATTGGATTTGTTGTATGTACTCTGAAATCAGTCAAGATTTCATGATTAAATAGGAAGTAGCATGCTAAAAAGCAGCAGCAATGGCAGGATCTCTCACATCATTCTTATACATGCCACAAATAAGAGCAGGATATCAAGATAAATAAGACAAATGCCCTTTTAAATATCTTGTTTGTGTTCATGTGCTTTTCCTAAATTGCCCAAAGACCAAAACACTGATCTAGCAGTAGTCACATACCTTGCTCAGTGTCTTCAAGTTTGAATACTTGTGGGAAAGTCTTTGCTAAACAAACCATAAAACTGGAGTTTAGAATTAACTATAGAATCAGTTAAAAGACCCAGACTCAGTAAGCAGCCAGCATGAAGTAAGTGTGGGAAGGAATTTAGCCCTCAGCCATGTTCACTGATCAGATCTCCCTGGAAAAGGAGAACAAAGGCTCCAGTAGAAGTTTGGGCTGGTACACTTGTAGAACACTCTGAGCTTATCATTAGCCAAGAGCAAGGGAATCCACTCCAAGAGAGCGCGTCATGTTCCACTAGTGCAGAATCAGTCAGTGCTATGAACGAAGCGGGGCATCCGAGACAGAGCACAGCATCATAGTTTGGAAATAGCTTCTTCCTTCTGGTGCCTGCCTTGTGTGTAGGTGACCTCTCGGTTCTCTTCTTTTTTGCAGCTGAAACAGGACAACTACATTAAATATTTGTAATTGCAACAAAGGAAAAGCACTGTTAGTTATTTTAAAAGTGCCATTACTCAAGCACGAAGTTATTTTCCTCTGAACTGGTGCAAATGCCACAGTAACTCATTGTTACATAGGTTTCAGGAGAATACATCCTGTGTGCTAAAGTCAATGCCAATCACAAAATTATTGCAGGACGAGGGGAAATAGTTTTAAGTTGAGGGAGGGGAGATTTAGATTGGATGTCAGGGGGAAGTTCTTTATAGAGAGAAGGGTGAGATGGTGGAACAGCTGCCCAGAGAGGCTGTGGGTGCCCCGTCCATCCCTGGAGGTGTTCAAGGCCAGGTTGGATGGAGCCCTGGGCAGCCTGGGCTGGTATGAAATGGGGAGGTTGGTGGCCCTGCATGTGGCAGGGGGTTGGAGCTTCGTGATCCTTGAGGTCCCTTCCAGCCCTGGCCATTCTGTGGTTCTGTGATATGAGCAGGCTGTACAAAAGTTTGTCACGTCAGTCTTTTTTCCCAGAAATTGGCCTTTTTTCCCTAGATGGCCTCTTGTCAGCGCAGATTTTTTCCCCTTAGATAGTGTGACCTTTGGGGAGACTGTCTCTAAAATTATTCCCTCTTGTTTCACTTCTTGTTCTTCCACGAAAAAAGGCAATTGGAGAGGCAGAAAAGCTGCGAGTTTGTTGTCTAACCCTTGTATGTGTCCTGTTTAGTTTGGAAAGGGACTCTCATTTCATAACTGTTTGTGGGAATAGCTAAACTGATGTGTTTTTGCCTTCTCAAATATTTTTTCCTATTTCTTGTCTTTGTATCTCTGACAAGCGTTGCTACAGTAGTTAACTATGGAACTGTCAGTACAATGAACTGTGGTGCTATTTCTCACAGAAATCAACCATTCCTGCAGGGGAAGCAAATCCCTTAGGTAGATCCTTCTTAGCCACATAAACATTAAAACAGAACTACTTTGAAGTGTATGATACTGAAGAAATAACATCTACTGTGGTTAAAAGTCTCAAGGGAGGAATTAATATATCGTAAAGATCAAATGTTACCACTTTAAAAATCATCCTGGTTTTCAGACACAGAAGCATTTCTCTGTATTAGAGAAAAAAAAGTTGGTTTGACTTGTTTTCCTGTGCTGTGACAGCAGAACATCTTACCTTTTCCTCCTGCATAGGCAACAAGCTACTAGAAGGAAGATGAGAACTCCCATAATGCAGGCTATCACAACAGAAACAAGAACACCTGGAAGAAAAGGGGAATCATACAAAGCAGTTGAATTCATTTGCTTGGGAGGAAAATTGCTTATCTCTCATCTGTCATAACGCTTTCTTCCCACATCTGCAACTTTCCTGCCATATTTTACCCTTCTGCCACTTGTATCACTTTTGCAGTCATGGAAGGGATAAGTTGTCACAGGTGTGTATCAGAAAGTCCCAATCCCACAGCTGAGTCCATAGTCAGGATGTCAAATCAGATGCCTGCTGCAGTCACAACGCCAACATGCAGCCAAAGGCACAGCAGATGTCTTTGGCTTCCTGGGCACAGGCTGCCCAGGGAAAGCTGTGTGTGTCCCATTGCAGAGGCATTCAAGGCTGGGCTGAAAGGAGCCGTGGGCAGGCCTGATCTGTGGGTGGCAACAGGCCCACAGAAGGGGGTTGGAACTCGGTAATCTTTAAGGTCCCTTCCATTCCAAATCATGATGTGATTCTGTGATTTGATGCTGTCACGTATCGGCATAAGCAAAAATGAAGAGCTAAACTTGGGGAACAAAGGATGTTAGATTTGATGCCTGTTGTTTTTTCATGGCAGGACACTATTGAATGTGAGCAGCTGAAGAGTGATGTGTTTTGTCTTTGATAACATTGATTAAAGGCACCTAAAAAGGTAAGAATGAAATCCAGATTGCAGTGTGAACAACTGAATGATCTTATGTTTGTATTGAGATGTTAAGCACTATCACTATAATCTCACTTTTGATAAAGAAATAATATTTACAGTAAAAGTATTTTTGCTATTTTGGCTGACCTGAAGACCATGAAGGTGAGTATTATTCACATTTTCATATTTCATTCACATACTATTTTTTTATGTTCTATGAAATTGTCTCTAAGTAAAGGCAAGTTTTGCTACAGTGAAAGTGCATCACATAGGCAGCAAAATGTAACACTATATAGAAAATTACAGAACAAAAGCTTGTAGTTTAAAGGGGAGAGGTAGGGAAAACTCAAACTTCGTATTTTAGATTTGTTTGATGAGGACATCTTAGGAAATTCAGATAGAAAGCTTTTTAACAACACTACACACCTGTTCCTGTTTAATTTGTGAGCACTGCAAGTCTCTAGAGGTTCCTTCCAACCCCTGCAATTCTGTGATTGCTGTAATAAATCTCAGCTGTGTGTGTGGAACTGATTTTATTGGAACAGGTTCCTAACAGGCAAAATACATTTTAAGCATGTTTGAGTTTTGGTGAGTGATCCTCTAGGATTTGAGGCGTTTTGAACTTTAGTGCTTATTCATGGTGAGCATGAGTTTAGATTTTAGTCATTGGCATCCAAACTTGGATGATCTAATACTTCAGTAATTTGAATTTGGGACACAAAGCACAGTTCAGTGGCTCCACTGTGTGGCATGGGCACTCTGATGAAGATAAGCAGCCCTCAGACTTGACACTGCAAAGGCAGAAACGTTGCTCCGAAGGAATGCTTTTAGGTTGAGGCCTGGAGTGTGCACACCAGAACTTCTTTCACAGATTTCTGTAGTTGTCCCAAGCCATGTTTCAGTGAATGGCCTCTCCTTCCCTTTTCAACAAGAGTGCTCTGTTCCTGCCTGTGGTACCTCTGGCACCCAGCAGCCAGGTGCACCTCAGCTGTGCTTTGGGGAAAGGGTTTTTTTTTCCTTTTTGAGTTAAGGGACTGCACCTGTGAGGGAGCTTTTATGGCTGGAGTAGGTGGAATGTGAGATTACAGGGGACGATGAATGCCTTTCTTGCAGTGGGTAGAACACTTTTGCTGTGGTTCACTGGTGGCCAATGAGCCTCTGTAATTAAGTGTACTTAAACTGAATGGGGTTTCTATTAAATTAACACTGAGAAATGCCTTCTGTAGCCATAGAGACCAGTTCTTGGGTGAGAACAATGGGGTGGGCAATAACCCCTACAACTCAGCCCTAGCAAGTTATGCCAATGTTAAGGAACAACTGAAAATGCCTTTATAGCAGGTGTCACCTCTGCATGGGAAGCAAACAGTGGAGCTTAGTAGAGGAAGAGCCAAATATTGTTTTTAGCTTTGGCACTGGGTCACAGCAGCAATTTCAAAAATGTCAAATTTGATCCTCTAGATGGACATAATAATGCTTATCCCATTTCTGTGGAGTGTTTAGATCCCCAGATTAAAACCATGCTGTCTGATTTTGTATTGAGTTACTGAGATCACAGATTGTAACTCATTACTTTAAGAATTGAGCGTGATTTACAGAGAGACAGTAGACAGGTGCAGAAAATTCAGCTTAAGTCCTAGATGGAAAACAGCATTTCTCATCCCTGACTGTCGTGAATCATGTTAGCAAACCAGCAACATATGCTTGCTTACTTTCATGAATTGAGAGGAGAGAAAAAGTGGCAGTTGGATTACCTACAATTCTGAGTTTTAGCACATGGTAGCTGCTCGTTCCAGAACTCCTGTTATTAAAATATTTCTGCTTAAACATGTCTTCAGTAAAGTGTGCATGGATTTAAGTTAAGTTCCTTATTGTCCAAGCTTACTTGGTTTCCCTCTCTCCCCAAACTTTGGGAATTAAAGCTCTAGCAGTTTTGGGACATTCAGTCCTAGAGAAGTGCAAAACAGTAGAAGTCAGTTATTTTTGAGATTTCTGTCGTGTTTGTTTGCAAATTGTACTGCAATTTGCTCTGCTTTGTGTATCAGAGGTAATCATGCTATGAGTAGGCCTGTCCAGAGCCAGTTAGTTGCAGGGCATGATTCCTACCCTGCATGTGACAGCAGAAGGATGTCATGGGCTTCTGTTATGTTACTGGATCATACAATATACAGTGTTACAAGTTATTTTTACTTATCAAATTTGAGTTTCTCTTGAGGACCTTTTCCAATTCTCTTTAATTACCCCAGAACAGTCTCCCTGAAATGCAAAGCTGTGATTCCTTCTCAACTTGTTGTCTGCACAAAAGTAGGCCTGATATTACTAGGAACCAGAGATGTAACTGAGGAGAGAAGGCCAGCTCAGTTAAGCTGGCTGAAAGCATTCAGCTGTAGGGAGCTATTTAGTGTCTGGAGTGACAGCAGATAGCTCTGCTAAACATGAGGAGGCCGAACAGTCCGCCTCTCTTCATCTCCTTCCCTTTGATTGGGGTCAGAAGGGTTGCTTGGTGTGGCTTGTCTGATAGCTGCTGTGAGACAGAACTTTGTATGCGCTCTTTGAATGCCATCACTCTTACATAGTTACCCCTGCAGAAGGGGAAAAAAACAACAACAAAAAGAAAGCTATCTGCAGGAGAGTGGGCCTGATACTTCTGTGCTGGTACAGTGCAACAGGACTGCCACATCCATGCTTCCAGCTTACCCAAATGACTGTGTGCAGTTTCTTTGCATAGAAGTGTTTGTACAGCTTACCTTCACGGAAGGAGATAAAAACAAGTCTTTCACGAAACTCCTGAACGTTTCGGAAGTTATTGACCATTTCCAGGGGTTCTGGGTCATCACTCTCTGTGCAGTACATGGCTGTTTCCAGTGCCAGCAGCTATAAGGCAAAGCACACTCACTGACAGTGTCTGTTGGAACGTACAGGCATAGTCAAACAGAAAGGGGCACATGAAATAATACTTGGAAGTCTTACGTGGCCTGTGAGCCCAAATAGAGAGTAATGTGTAAACAGTGGTGACATCTCTGCAACCCCTACCTGTATGTGTGTTTTATATACTGAAAAAATAAAGGCTGGTTAGTAATTAGCTGACAGGAAAATTGGATGGGAGGAAATGTGGTGGTCCTTTGCAGCACAGACTAACTCCTGAGCAGTGCTATTTCATGAAGGAGCTCACCAAAGAACTCGTGCTTTGGTAAAACAATCTGGTACAGTGGATGAAATTAATAATTGACTCTCATCACAGGGAGCACATGGGAATTAAATCTCATATTAAAGGTGGTAATAACATTTTTAGTAACATTTTTTCCTTGTGTTTATAATTAGATGAATTGGTAGATAGTGATTACAAGCTTATGTAATTTGTCAGTGTCCACTTGAAAACAAAAGCTAGGTGAGAACAAAGCTTAGATGAGAACAAAAGCCTTAAGTTAAGAGAAAAGTCTGGGGATTCAGGCTTGACGAATTATACATCACAAGCTTTTTAGAAACAGTGACATCTACTCAATCTATCATGTCTAAGATAGTCATGATCAGAGCACAGGGGAACTTAAGAGTTTGGAGTTCAGACATGAAGCCTTGACAAAAACGATCTGACAGTGACTTGTGGAAAGACTCTCAGCAGGGAACAAGCACATGGTAAAAAGAAATGAATCTCACTTCAATGTGATTCTTCAAGCTGTTGCTATACCAATTGCTATTCAATTGGCTGCCCATCATTTTGGTCAACTGCAGATGGGTTAACTCTACAGTGAATAGGGAAGAATCTATAGTGAATAGATTGAAGTCAGTTCTGTGACGTGCACCCCAACTGAAAGATTTTAGCCAACAGTCACTTTCCAGTTCAATAAGTAAGTAAGATAAATCCAGGAAAACAAATCCAGAATCCATTTACTGCTCCTTAACAAACATCAATCAGGACAACTCGTGTTGTAAACTTGCCTGCTCTTGTGAAATTTTAACGGGGTGCCGGAAGACTGTCCAGAGAACGCTGGGGTAGCAAGGAGGAGTTGTCAGGGATCCTTCATAGCGATAATACTCAGCTGGTCTGTCAGGAAGCAATTCCTGAACGTTGAAACCAGGGACATGGACCATCTGATCTAAAAGAGAGGATTTAACAGTGTTAAATGCTGCTTCATTACCGTGTGCATGGTATACTAGTGCTGTGATTCTGCTTTGCAGTAAGCAGGGTGCTTCGTCTGATCTCTAGGAAAAGAAAAATATTTTTAAGTGGAGATGATCCCAGTTTGACATAGGAAACCCCAAAGTCTGCGTTTCCTATATACAGATCTTGTCATAGATACCAAACCAGAATTTTGTACAATAACCTGTAGCCATATTAACCAAACAACAGCTGGTGCAGGAAATAAGGCTCCCATGGCTGTGTGCATCTTGCTATACACTCTCCAGAGTAATGCACTGAATATTCAAAGTGTCTCGTTTTATGACTGCTTTGCCTGGGATTGCAGGACTGTTTCTGCAGCTGGTTCAGCCTGTCACAGGGTACCTATCTGGTACCTGTCTGATACTTCAGAAAAGTCACTCACCCTTGTATTTCACATTCCGGAAGTGCCTGAAGATCTTTTCATATGATGGGTTGAAGGGTCCAATCTGTAATGAACAGACTGTTAACAACTGTGTAGGTCCTTGTGCTTCTGCACACAGCAGCAAGCAGTATTTGATGAACTCTGCCCTAAGGAAACTGAGTATGCTGTCCAGATTTAAATAGAATTACTCTTTGCAACTGAAATATTATGTACCAGTCCCAATAAAACTCTTAGTCTGTCTGTGGCTGTTGAAGGTGCTTTGTTACACTCAGGTCTTAACTGCAGCTTAGTCCTTTTGCACACACTTGAAAGACTGAGTTGCTCTGCCTGTTCGGCCTGCAGCACAAAGGAGGAGCAGCCATTTCCTCTGAGAACATCAATAGACAGAAGTTCTCAACTGACATGCTGCCCAGCTCATCTGCTGCTTTCTGGTCCAAGCCACATCTTTCCACCCACAGATGTTCCTCCGTCTACTGTTCCTCATAGACCATGAAGATGAAGAATGAACTGTTGGGTAATGCAGGGCCACTGGCAGGAGCAGTAACTCAACTAGCAAGCAAGACCATGTGTTTTAACTGCTACCAACAGCTTTTTGGTTTAATAATCAGTGTCTTTCTTATGAATTCTTGGGTGCTTAGCAACTCCTCTGACAGCAGACACGTTAAACTCTTGTCCTTAGCTGAACTGTAAAAGCCACCGGCTTCCTGAAAGGTTTTCAAAAACCTAATCACCAGACTTAACAACATTCCCTTATTTGATTTTAAACACCACTATTTGGGGAAAAAAAAATCATAATCCTCTGCATAATATACAGTACTCTGAAGTTTTTCACAGCTGCAACTTCCAAATGAACTGAAATGTAACACAGTTATGACAAATTCTTAGAGCTAGGAAGTGAGGTGGGGTGATAGCCACTTGAACTAGAGCTTGCTCTGTGGACATCGTCACTTTTTCAGTGAAGTGTAGAAGTAGACTTTGAGTGAAGGACTCTTTATGCTGCAGAAAATTAAAAATTGTCTTGATAGTTAAGCTTATTCTATTAATTAAGACTTTTAATTCTCAAGAAAATATAGATTTTTATATATATATACAAGCTTGTCAGAATTGTTTCGTAGCATCATGATTACCTTTAATTGCCTATGTGTGTGGCCTCAGAGGGGAATAAGGAAACTTGTCATCTAAAAAAAGCACTGAATTTATTTGTTTATAATTTAGTAGTCTGTGATTCAGATGTTCTCAGAATCAGTCTTGCATCCTGAAAACGATGATCACATCCTGATTATCTTAAGTTGCCAAAGGACAAGTTGTGTTAGTATGTTTCTACTGGGCTGACACTGCTTCATCTTACAGTAAGCAGTTTTGAGTGAGCAGGTTTGAAATCCACAGTTGCCTGTTGTTTGATGAGCTAGACCAGTACTTAACTTGTAAATGAATACAAAAATTGATTTAAGAATTGAAGTGATTTTACTGGAAAACACGAGGAAGCACTCAGAGCTCCTCTTTTCCTAACATGGGTACCTGTTTAGGTAGTGCTGATGGGATTGGCCTAAATGTTGCTTTAAAGCTCACTAATGACTTAATTATTGAAAGAATGTTAAAAACAAAAGCAAGAAAACAAACAGCACCCCCAGTCTTGTGTCCTACCTCAAGAAGAATAGCCAAAACTGCCAGTCCATTTGCTTTGTCCATTGCTGCTGTTATATCTGGATATTTCTCAGAGTTATAATGTACAATATGCACCTGCAGAGAAGGAGATATGTTTTCATGATAATGCTGTGGGCATGGTAATGTTTTTATTTAGCAACTGAAAAAGATGAGTGCAGCCATCTCAGGCTAATAGCAGTAGAACAGCATTCTTCAGTGCTTTCTGGGCATAATGATGAGATCCTTTCTGGATAAAAGCAAAATATACCCCTTCCCAGCTTCTCTCTGGCTGGTATCCCTCCTGTCTACGTGACTGGGGAGCAAGAAGAATGATTGTTTCATCTTCAAGCCATCTTGTTTTTAATACTAGCATTAGTAAATGTTTCTGAAAAAAACAGTATTTCATTTGATCGTTTTGCAGCAAATATCCAATTGGCACTGCTTTCCAAAATCTATTCCCAAATCCATAATTCAGGATTAGGAAAGATAATAAGTAGTTCTTCAATGGAGCAAAAAGTGCCAATAAAGATAGAAGAAGGGCATTTGAAGACGTTGTTCAAACCCAGCCAAGCAGTCTTGTGCAGCTAAAAGATTACAGAGAAACCAAGCAATCTGCTTGGAGTTACTTAAGAGACCCAGTGCCAGCCCTGAGTTTAGAATGTAACTCCCTGACTTGCAGTACTTTGGAGCCCACCCTGTTTGTGGTTCAAAAGCATATTTTAATTATACACTCAGATCATGAATACTTGGATTAGAACCTTGCAGCCTTTTCAGTCATACACCAAAGTAAAGATCCCATTTGAGACAGTGTCCGGCCTCCTTTATCTCGCTCATCGATTTGAGCATGTCTTACCTCTGCTGCAAAGTGCTTCCCGCTGACTGTGTGCTCTGAGCCTTCCGACTTGTTTCTGTTTCCCCAGTGCAGGTGAAGTTGAGATGCAGTGTATTCAAAAGGGAGGTTTCTGATGTGCATGGTAGGTGACAGATGCATTTTCACTGTAAGCAGACCGAAGGCAGGTGGGGGCAAATGATACCACAGCTTTTAAGGAGGGGGCAAATAAAACTACGACAGCTAAACATAATACGTAGGGAAAGAACAAGGCAGAATAGCTACATTTTTAACTTGGAATCCATCCCAGTCTGTCGATAGGAGCTAAACACTTATTTGTCATTAACTCTTCCTAAGCGATTCAGAAGAATTTAGAATATTCCTTTTTCTGCTTTCTTTAACTAAATGAACTGAATGTGGGAATTATTGCTAATTATTGCTCTGTCCTCCTTGAAGAATGCAAAATTATCTCAGCTTTATTAAAGAGAAAGTTATCAAAGTATTGAAGGAAAACTTAGGCTCATGTGCCTTCTCTAATTCCCCTTATAATGCTTAAAATGTCTTAATAAATTAGTATTTCATAGTATTTTTGAAATCTTGTTATATTGAACTCCTCTGTCTGTTAATCCTCTCTAAGCAGCCTGTGTCAACACCAAGTAAACTACTGATCTCTCCCTCCCTCCCCCTTCCTCAGTCAAACCCAGAGTGCTGCTGTCAAGCAGCAAGATACCTGTTGACCTAAAGCGTTAGTATTTCCTCTTTCAGCATGATGGAATGAGTTTTTTTTGTATATTTGCTAATGCTGCTCAGCATGAGAACAGGCTAGCTTATATTTTGTGTATAAATTACAGTAGAAAGGGAATTGAGATGTTCTCTATTGTCATTGATTACTGAGAAATTGGGTACTTCATTGAACAATGATTTGTATAAAGAAAATATCATCTGCTTTGCAATTTAACTTTACTGGCTTCTAGTGAGAATATAATTTGTTTCTGACGTGTCCCAGATTTGCTGGGAAAGCAAGGCTCAAAACTCATGAAGGAGCAGCTGCAAACATTTTCTGTTAGCTAAAAAGCATTTCTTGAGGTCTGCTGTTCTGTTTAGCTGAAGTAGGTAACTGCATCTGGCTTAACTGGCAGTGAAGTGCCTTAGCTGTGTGTAGGACTGTCACATCAGTCACTCCTAAGTACCCTACTGATTTCTTCTCTAGCCATGAGAGAAGATAACAGCAGATGCTGTCATGATCACTCTAACAAAGAGTTGATTTTCCATTGAACCAACTGAGAGATTGGTCTTTACCTGAAGAATGTGTTTGTGATGTTGTACACAGCAGCTTTACCTCACTGAAAGCATGAGGAAAAAATGAGAAGTGCATTGTGAGCACATTTTAACAGAGCATGCCAGAGAAGAGCAGAGGCAAAGGCTGCAGAGGTTCTTTTGATGCTTGTAGGATACAAGAAGTGTCTTATATGTGTCCTTATTTACATGTCCTCAAGTGTCTCATGAAGGGAAAAAATGATGGGACAAACTTAACTGTCACTGTATGTAGTGTTGATACGGTAGATATTGCAGTTCTTTATGTGACTGCATCCTTTCTGCTTTTTACTTTGTGTACTGACGCTTTTAATACAGCCAGGCAGAGCATGTTTGTAAGCTGTTTCTAATTATTTTTCTGTTCTTTTATCTATTTGTCTTATCCTGCGCTATAGGAGGTTTCTACCTCAAGTCATAGGAACAGAATAGTGCTCCTTTGTTCTTTTTCCTTCATGTAACTCAGCTGAGCTGCTTTGATTAGAATATCAGAGATAACTGCACTCATATTTTATCAATTTCTCTCTTTCTAATATAATCACCAAGTCTATTTCAGAGCACTTCAGCCAAAGTAGGAAGAAAAGCTTTCAAAGGCAAGGAATTGTTTTTGACATGCCTATTATTTATTGAAGAAAACCACAGTTTTTCAGTTCTGCTTGCAGCAAATCCATCTGTGCTTTGTACAATCCCAGGTTTCCCTACTGTGTTCTCTAGATATGCATATGCTGATCAAGAGGCATCATAGCTTAACTTCAAATGATAATCAAAGTGATTTGCCCATAAAATACTAGATTACAAACTCCAGCAACTTTCCTACATAATTGTTTGCTGTCATTGAGCTCCCTTACCTGAGTGCCCATTATTAGTCAGTGTGAACTGGTCAGTGGAAGACACATTATAGCCTATGAATTCTAAAGGTGAGAGATTAGAATCATATTGGAGAATATCTTTGTGAAAATCTATTGGTGATTGAAATACTCCTCCACAAAATGGATATTTCTTCGGCCAGGTGTTCTCTCCATCAGGACCTACATAAAGTGACAAAATTGACATCTGTCAGCCTTAACTCTGTCCAGGTAGCACATGCCTTTCCCTCCCCCAGACTGATTCAACTATCATTCAGAAGTTGGAATGTTCAGAAGTTTCACCCTTTGCTGAATTTTGAAGACTTTTTTTTTTTTAATTCAGCTTTTCTCAATTCTTGTTTCCAGGATGCCACTTAATTGAAAAGGGCCTTATTATCATAGTAAGATGCATTTGCTGGCGGAGGCAGTGCCAGCAGAAATCTCACATAGAGACTGTTCACCGTCCCTTGATTTTGGACAGCCTTGGCGGCCGTTTTATCTCACCCTGCTGGGGGCAGCTCAGTGGATTGGGCCTATGGTAACAGCACCGCAGCCAAACGCAGTGCTTCTGATCCTCTAATGGTGGTGTTGTGTCTCCTTGAAGTCCTCACGCACAAGTGAAACGGTATCTATGCCAGCAATATTTACTGATGTGAATTACTTTTCCCTATAAAACTTACAGGCGTGTGCATGTTAATGTGGCTATTCCTGCATTCTGAAGAGAATTTCTGACAGAAGTGACTTCATGTTGACAGAGGAAAGCTCTCGTATTTGCCAGCAAACAGAAAGCCAGATCCCTGTAAACCTCTCCTTATCATACAAAGCGTTGCGCTCCATCTCGCAGTGTTACCTACATCACAGTAAAAAGCTAATTTGCAGAGGTGTTATGGTAATTTGACCTGTAATAACTTGATCAGACTCTTGCAGAATTTTTTCCTCACAGCCTTTTGCCCTAGGCAGTCTAGTAAGAATAGATAACATCAAGACATTGTTGGTCTATTTAATTACGTATTAATAGCAAGCAGCTGTTCACAAGCTCTAAGCTGGGACTTTTTGGGTTTAAATACCAGAAGAAGTGCTTGTAACTTTCGTTTCTCTCTAATACTTGCAGATTCATTGATTCTTTCTAAAGCAGGAAGATCTCTTGGGGTCACACAGACTGATCTGGTAACCCAGGCCATTGGACTTCCTTGGATCAATTATAACTTTAAAGAGGCTATATTTTGAGGGGAAAAAAAAGAAAAAAGTATTTCTTGAACTGTTGCAGATAAGAGATACTTCATTCTTGCCCAATGGATAGTTGCTCTCCGTGGAAGATTGCTTGTCACAATGAATTTGTCTAGATTTGACTTCATTTAGATAGCAGCCCCTTAAAGTCTTTTGCTTGGAAACTGAAGAGCCTGCTGTGAGCATGCTTGCGTTCATCTGGAAGTACTTACAGAGGACGCTGTTTCTTGCTTCTCTTAAAGTAAATAGATTTAGTTCCTTGATTTTTTTTCTTTTCCAAGCCCAAAATAGCACTTGTGACTTTTTTTGTCATCTCAGTAGGATGTTACAGCAGATGGCCCTTAAAGGATGACAGTGCTTGTGGGACTTGCACATTGGCTGACCAACAGAAGAAGAAAGTGGGTCTACGAGGCGCCCGTGTTACCAACAGTCTTTTGCTCTGATGATCAGTGTATATTCATGTTGCTCGAGGTTCTCACAGAAGATCCAAGTTCTCTTAATCTGTAGTCAATTAAGTAGTAAAATGCACTGGGTCAGTAGCACAGGGAATGTCTGTGGTATTTTGCAGTCACGCAGAGCACTCTGCCCCTGTTTTCAGCCAGCTGGAAGCTGTACAGCTGCAGTTAGCCCAGGGCTGAGTCAATAGTGAAGGCTGAGAGTCCAGGCTACGTGCCACAGCAACATGACCACATGGTTTCCATTTTGCTGTGAGCGCAGTCTGAGCTCAGTCTACCTTCACACAGCCTGTACGTGTAGATCTTTTGCGTGTGTGTGCAGTGGGAAGTTAGAGGAATTGCAGAATCCAAAGTGAAGCACAGATCTCCAGTTCTATCCATTGGCACCTGAATTTCTCCTGCACCCTCAACCTTGTACCTTGACCCTCAATCTTGAGATCAGCCTGCACTGACTACAGTGGCCTGACTTCCTTTGTTCTACTGTTGACTTGATTTTACTGGGGAGCATTGCAAGCTTTTACAGGGGTAAAGTTAAAAACGATGGAAGGTGGAGGCTGCCATAACGACTCAGAGTCAGTAGGAGATTATGGTGGATAAGTTCTGGCTTTGACTGCAGTCTTTCCAATTGCCATTCTTCTCTGTGCAGATCAACATTCCTTTTTTCTGGAAAAGAAACTTTCTGTGCATTTCAATTGCTATTTTGATTTTTTTGAAGTTGCCTGTATACGTTTTCTAAATAGATTTAAAAAAACAGCAGTTGAAGGAAAAAATAGCTACGTTAGAAACAGGATTGCAGTGTCAAAGCACTTAGCTGGAAGGCATGAGGCTGTGTACTGTGTCAGGAACACAGTCTGAATAAAACACTGGTACCAAAATTCCCCCAAATTCCTGCAGAAGTAACTAAATTGAACATGCGTGGCCCTGGGAAGAAGGGCAGAACTTCTCCTTTGCTGGTAGTAAAAGAAGCGTTGTTTTCCTTACTAACCAGCACAGTTAGGCTCATCTGCTTCCTGCTGGCAAGGTGAAAAACCCAAGCTTCTTTTATTCAAAGTATGGTGAACAATTTTTGCTAAAGGAGAATATGAAATCTGTATACATATGCTGATGGTTACAGTAATACCTAAAGACATGTCAGCTGGCAGTTTTCTCTCACACATTGTGCTGATCTGGAGCACAGGCAAAGCGAGCAGTTGTCAGCAGCAAGTTAAATCACAGAGATTCCTGGAGTTGTTGGCTGCTCCAAGGGTTTATGAAGAAGCGTTTTTTGCTGAAATTCTCAGTACAGGCTGCTTCTCTGTGAGCATGTGGTGTGTGAAACACAGCTCTGAATGGGGAAATTCTGGCCAGAGGATTTGTTCACTTAAAATAAGATTTCTAGTTAATTTTAGTCTCTAGTTAATTAATGCACAAATTAGTTAGTACTTACCAATATAGGACCATTTTGACCCTGTTTAAAAACAAACAAAATATTAGTGTGAGTCTTTGAAATTGAGCTTACACTGTGAATTAAAGAAAGAAATCGCCCCTTGAATCCATGTACTGAAACTCACTTTCATCTGACTTTCTAGGTCCAGATGTTGAGCAAAACAAAGAAGTTTTCAAAGGCTATGAGCCCTTCCCAACCACATTATGACTAGGGTTATTCAGAGATTTTGCCTAGGACTTTCTTGTGGTTGCTTAAATTCTGGGGCCAAACTTCTTTCTTCTCTCTCTCTCCCTTTTTTTTTTTTAATAGCCACAGACTGTATGTAGGCATCCCCGATTTCTTCTAGTGAGACAAATAAGGAGTGTAGGCAGGATGAATTTGTCATCAAAATCCCCATGCCTAATTGAGCTGTTTGAAACGCATCAGGGGACTGCCTGTTGCTGCCCTGAGAAATGAGAGGCAGTCCTTTCTGCACAGGCTCTCTGGGATTTGCCAGCTGAACCATACAGAAAATACACGGGCTTTGGAAAAAGAGGATGTGATAAAGGAACCAACATAACTCAGAAAATCCCAGGGGGTTGAGCGGGTGCTAAAATAATCAATGTTCATCTGTTGCTTAAGGAACAGAATGTGGAACAGTGCCTTTGCATGCCTTTTGAAATGCCTTTATTTAAATGCCTTTTTTTTTTTTTTTTTCTTTTTTTTTCCCCCAGTCTACTTAGAGTCATTCAACTTGCTGTGTAATTACTGGCACTTGTCCTGGCAGACCTGAGCAATTGTGGTTATCAGGCTTAAGAGGCAGTTCTGGGTGACGAGTCCTGCAAACACTCCATGTGCTTGTGTATGCATGTGTGCAGCAGGTATTTATCCTTAGGTGCACGCATTTGCTCAGAACCTGATTCATGTCGTTGTTTTTTGTACTCTGCAGTGTACTCACAGCTCTTAGCCAAAAACTGTTGTGTGAAGTGTTTGGGATTAATTTGTGGGGATGTGCAAAACAGCTGCTCTTTGCTCTTACGTATTGATACATGCTGGAAACACTAAGCTTGTGGTTCCAGCACATCAGGACCAGTGAGCCTTGCTGTTTAGTGGAGTTTTCAAAACGAGATGTGTGTAATCACCCTGGCTGGATTCCCCAGGTTCCTTCTGCAGGAGAGTACGTGCACTGTCTTCAGTTGCTACATGAGAAACCTGATCTGCTCCTCCCCTCCTGTTTGCTGGGATTGTCCCTCACTGAGGTTTTTGGGGCTGCTTGTGTCCTGTGGTCAGCACGCTCTGTAGGTACTGCTTGCACACAGATAGTTACCAACTGTCAACGTGCTTTAGAAATCCCCACATCCTCATTTGAGCAGCGTTTGAAGAAGCATTGGCTTAACTGAAATAAATAGCTGATCTCCACACCTGCTCCTACTTCATGTTAATATATGCAAGAGGTATCAAAACCGTAAATATATGCACGTATATTTATAATATAGAACAACCTTAAGACAAGAAATTTCAAAGATTTTCAGCAATTTGGGCTTTTATTTCAAATAAAAATAAATAAAAACTTTAAGTCTTTTACCAAGTGAAATTTTCCTTAGCCTGTGAACATCTTTGATGCTCTGTGCTTCACTACCCTTGTGCCTTTACTGATAAGCACAATTATAGCTAGGGCTATGAGGGAGATGAGCAAACAACAGATGGCAGAATCTTCTTGATTTTGTCTGAAAGAACATGTCAGAGCTACAGAATTGATTTACTGTCATCCTGATGTTGTGAGCAAGATTGGTGTTATGTTTACTCTGCTTGATAATGAAATTAGAATGAAGCAGACTATTATACAGCCTCCTGAATTTGGACAGAAGTCTGATTCACACCTAGAAGGGTACTACCAGCAGCCCCAGGGAGGGCTTTCCTGCCTCTGTGCTTGTCCTGCAGTGAGTGCTGATGAATAACACAGCTTCATGCCTGCATATGACAGAGGAGTTTCCTAGAGCCTAAAGTAAACTGGGAGGGGAAAGTTGTGACAATCTGCATCTTATTTGGGTCTCTGACTTGGGAAGATGTCAAAAACAGGCAGGTGCTGTAGCTCATACCATTTGTTGGCACCAGCTGGCTCTTTCCAAGCTAGGAGTTCCCCAGATTTCCCTGCAGGATGCATTGTCAGACATACCTTTTCAATACATCTTTTCACTTCCAGGCCTTCAGTGTTGTCGTTCTGCAGAGCACTGAGCTCTAAAAGCCTATGCTTTTCAGGTGGGACATTCTGCCATTTAGCAATTTTTTCAGAGGAAATAATGCCTGAAATAACAGGCTGAGCTGAAAAGTTTGGAATTCCACCCTGTGGAGCTCATGCTGAAAACCTGGCAAAATACTCATCCTGGTGGGGCTGCACAAGAAGCAGACTGCTCTGGATTACGTGCAAACCTTCAGGTTTTTCCTTCCATGAATATTCATGCTCTCACATTACTCTATACTATGATTCTCCCTCCTATCCTATAATCATGCTATGTGGATTATAATAAGCTTGAATGGATGAAAATTAACTCCTAAAAAGAAAGTGAGGAGTGCTGATCTCCTGAAACAGGTCCCATGTAAATATAAGGCAGTGAGGTTTATTACATGGGAAATGGGGCGCTTCACAGGGCTTACATTCTTTTTGTTTGGTTTAAAAATAAAAAGAGCAGAGGGAAAGATGTTATGGTTCCAAAGAAAGGTGTTACTAACACCGAAGAAGGCCAGTCTCACAAAGCAAGGCATGCTGAGCACACAAGTGCTATGTAACATGAACTACATCGGAGCACAGATTTCTGTTTTCTTTCTAAATCAGAATGTCTATTTTGAGAACTTGAAATAAGGACACTGATTCCAAACAATCGCAGATTGCAACAATACACAGTGTTGAGCATGCTACTGAAATATTAGTTAAAACAAACAGACAAAACAACTAAGAGCAGTGTTAGTTTTCTCTATACATGAGTTACCCAGCAATAAGAGCAACAATAAAATAGCCAAAAGACTTTACCATTCAGTGAGGCTGGTACCGAGAGTTGTATCTTTAGGAAGAAAAGGAGCACAGTAGTGACCGTGGCTCTATTGCAGCTCTTGACTGACATCTCAAGGAAAGACTTGTAATATACCAGCAGTTCACACGTTTCTCTGTACTCTGAAGAAACTCCCTTGTAGGTGTCTGGCAAACTGCAAATGGCACGCGTGCAGACCTTCTGCTAATGAATTATTGCTCTTCTGTTTCCTTGTCTCTCTCCCTCCTTTCAGGTCTGCTTTTTATAAAGCTCCTCGGACTCATCCCAAAACAAGTGATGTAATCAGACCTGCCTCTAGGTCACATCACCCTCAGAAAGCTGATCCTTTCCTTGATTACCACAATTTTACAGAACTTCTGAGGGGATCGACTGCAGTACTTATAAAGCAAATTAAGATGTGGAACTTAAGAAATTATGTAGCAGAGAGAGCTTATAGAATGTGTCCTTTGCTTTTGTGAACCAGACCACGGCAGAGTTTTTCCAGCCTATTTCAGAGCGGCTCTCTAAACTCCCATTTTTGGATTAGTGTGATTTTAGCATAAAGGGCCACTGTGAGAACTGGAGGGAGGGGAAGCCAAGGGAGGGGAGAGAAGTGAGGCTGTGTGGGGCACTGTTCATACTTCTGAGGGACCATGGACACTTCCAGGAAAAAAATGCCCATCTTGTCTGGAAGAATTTTTCTTTAAGCTGAGAGAATACAAGAAGCAGAGAGGAATGAACATTCATGAAGCAACTGCCCCAGATGCAGAGGCTATGTTCAGGACGTGTGGGAAGGGGTAGAGAGGAGCACAGAGTGTAGATGATTTCCTCTTCTGAAGGTGATTGAGGAGTAAACTCTTAAACGGAATACTTCATGGATAGCTGAGGAGAGGGAGGTGGGATTGGAAAGACTATCAGTTGTTCCAGTTATGTACATTATTATTGATAACTGTTATTAACTACTTACTATGTCTTAGTAACAACCATGTAGCACATATTACTTTTGAGCATCTTTATTTATCAAATGCTGTTTAATTTTTTCATGTTATTAGTCTTACTTATTTTTTCCTAACATAATGCATGAGGCTGATAAAGGCAAAGGAAATTTGGCTGCAGCATAGCTCACTTCTAACTAGATCCTAGGTAGGGATGTGCTATAAAGCACAGTTCTGGCATATTGGTGCTATTTATCTATCATCCGATCCTATCCAGGCTGCAGAGAGCAGCAGCAAGTAATGAATGGCTTTTAGAAAGTATCTGCCTTTGAATACAGTTCCTCTCTCATATTTCATAATATTTTGTAAAACTTAATTGTAATATCTTAGTCTGTTTGATTTAGTTCAGTTAGATACAGTTTAGAGAGAGAGGGTGTGAGTAAAAATGTTTTTAACATGTATCTTTAATTAATTGCTGTTGCCCAAAAGAGAGGAATGCATTCCGCCTACCATGTTTGTATAGAGGAGCACAATGAGTCTGCTGAGGTTGCTGTACAAGAAACTATTTTGTCACAATCCTTCACATAATGGATGAGCCACTAAGGCTGTTATCAGTAACAGTTGAAGATGACCTCGTCTACAAAATGACCTTTTGTGTAGGAGGGTTTGAACTGAGCTATCTGCCAAAATATGCCTCCAAACTATCTCCTCGTTTCTCTTTTCTGCTCGTATTCTTAAAAAATTTACTGTGCTGAAGTACTTTTTTACATCTTCCCATTTCACACCTCTCCTGGCCCAGGTGCTGCTGTCATTTGGCTTTACATCCTCCGGAGGAATCCTGGGCAGAGCTGGTGGATAGAAAGTGCTTTGCTTGCAAAATACAACCCTCCCCCCAGAGCTCCCCCGACAAACAAACTCCAACACTTCTCCGAAACAGCTGACACTGTTTTCTCCAGCAGCCAAACAGGGTTTGCCGTTTGATTCTATCTTAATGAAATGTTAGGTCTCTGGCAGTTGGCTTTCATCTCAGCATCGATCCGAGGTGGTGACAGGACAGGGCTGTCATGGATTGGTGGGGCTCATGAGAAGGCGTATACTTGGATATACGTGCAGTTCAGCATCACTCATACTTAAAAATGAAGCCCAGAAGCATTCCAGTGGGAGCAAAAAGGAATTTCAGTGGAAGGCCCAGGAATTCATTTTGAGTCCTGCATTTGTCCTCCGGTGACAAACCACTAGCCTACAAAACCCTCTATATTCTACCTCTCTGAAATTCCCTATGTATTATTTATTTTCCATCTGCTCTCCCCAGAATATACTCATGGGATAAATATCTGCTATGGCAGACTAGCCCTGTGAAGTCAAATTCAAGGGGTTTTGCATGTATTTGCTAAATGTGCTGGGAACTGTCGAACTGGGCAGAGCAGCACTTCATGATTTAATGTATGAGAACATCAAGAGCTACTGCATGGCTGCTTCAGAGATTCAAATCCATTTTTCCCAACCTTTTTTCTGTTCTGATACTCTGATTTATTCCCTTCGCTAAACTTGACCTCCTAGATTGCATTAGGGCATAGACTGACACAGTTATCAATGAAATCTTTCCCCACTAAGCTGCTAGATTTAATGTGAATGTGGACATGAGCAATCAACCTGTTACTGCTCTGATGACCAGCCTTCCTCTGCAGGGTGGCTTCTACAAGTCTGGAGTGGACAAGAGTTTATATCAGCAAAGCAGCAACCAACATTAAACGGTATCTTTAGTCACCTCATTCAGAAGGAAAAAAGCTAAGCAGGCACTGTGTTCCTTCCTGGGGCTCTGGTACACCGTAGAACTGACTTGTGCAAACACTTGAACAGTCTCAGGGGATAATCCTGCAAACCAGAATGTTCATGCTTGCCTTAGTTTTCCTCCTCGAGTGCAGCTGACAGTAAAGGTCCAGGACCTGCTATAGAAAAGCTGACAACAGTTAAAAGAACAAAGCAGAAAAGAAACAGGGAGTGGTGGGAGCGGGATAGTAGGATGAACCAAAAGCCAAATAAAGGAAAATATCACAAGTATATGCAATACATTGCTCTGATGAACTCCTAAAATTGCTGCAAGCAAGGTTCATCTCCCTTTTGTTATCAGTTTCTCTCCCAGACTCCTCTCAGAATGATCTTTCCCACTCCAGAGGTGTTCAGACAGCACAATCACCAGCACTACCTACTAGGTTGCACTCTCTTTATTCCAGTTTCCAGGGCAGTCTGACATTTTTCCTGGGTGTTAGCCACTCACTTAGTTTTTCATTATGTTAACTAAACATAATGGTGATTTTGATGAGGCATGCAAACACGAACTTGTGGAGGAATAAAGATGAACTACTGAGACTGTCTGTGTCAGTAGCAATTGATGACTTTGTGTTTCAAAGGACATATTTCATAACGTGAACCCTGCTGGAAAGTACTAAATCTTAGTTCAATTTACTTCTTGAATTCACTGCACAGGGAATGAAAAGTTGTGCTTTTCAGTGGTTCATTTGTACCATCCATTGTCTCATCTGATTATTCTTTCGTTATGCTGCATGAAGAGAATGAATTACTGGCTAACTATAGGGTTAGAGTGCTCCCTTTTACATTCCTCTGCTCAGAGACCAGATGGAATAGATGCACAGACCCAAAGTGGGGATTTGGGATGACTCACTGGGCTACGGTACCTTAGGGTTGTACTCAGGGCTGGTGAAACTGGCCAAAGAGGGATTGTTCAGGTGTAAAAAAAGTTGCAAACCAGGAATAAAGGCTGAGAAGAGGGTATTACTGGATCAAGCCCTATATAGCTGTGTTGGTGTAATACATAAAAATGTAGGCTAGTCACTTCTTCAGCTTATGACCTGGAGTAGCACCTACTGGTGGTTTATATCATGCTGTATTTATCACAAATGGTGATTTCCATTCTCACAAGCTGTTTTCAGTGCTCAGAACAAGACTATTACTATTGACTTGCATTGCAACAGAAGCCAGATCATAGAATCATTAGGGTTGGAAAAGACCTCTAAGATCATCTAGTTCAACTATCCCCACTAAACCGTGTCCCTAAGTACCACATCTACCCTGTACTTGAGCACCTCCAGGAATGATGACTCCACCACCTCCCTGGACATCGTATTCAAATACTTCACCGCTCTTTCTGAGAACAAATCCTTCCTAATATCCAATCTGAACCTGCCCTGGCACAACTTAAGGCTGTTCTCTCTGATCCTATCGCTGTTACCCAGGAGAAGAGGCCATCCCCCACCTCGTCACAACCTCCTTTCAGGGAGTTGTAGAGAGCTGTAAGGTCCCCCCTGAGCTTCCTCTTCTACAGGCTAAACAATCCCAGGCCCCTCAGCTGCACCTCATAAGATGTGCTCCATACCCTTCACCTACTTTGTTGCCCTTCTCTCAACACTCTTCAAGGTCTCAATGTCTTTCTTATAGTGAGGGACCCAAAACTGAACACACTGGACACTGGTGAAGGGCAGCCTCACCGACGTACAGAGGGACAGCCACATCCTGTTGGTTGCACCATTCCTGATACAAGCCAGGATGCCATTGGCCTTCTTGGCCATCTGGGCACATTGCTGGCTCATGTTGAGAGAAAAGATGTCACAGAAAATTTATTTTAACTCTCTATCCCAAGCTTTTTCTTGCATGTATAGTGGCGTTCTGGAGTTTGCACAACTGAGAGAATAAAGTTTAGGTTACCAGTTTTAACAGCAGGCCACGTTTTACTGCTTTGCATGTGATTCTTTACGCTGTGTTATGTCCATTTCTCCTCAGATGCAGTCACAGCTGTCACAGGAGCAATTTACCACTTGTCCTGTCTACCTATTTTTCAGTCTTCGTTAGTCTTCCACTTCAGCACAGCAAATGCTGCTATTCCTTGTGGTATCCACTCTGGAAACACACTCTTATATATAGCAATTGGTTGAAACGGATCTAGCAAGACAGAATAGGGCTCTTGAGTTGGCAGCAATTTGAAGTTCAGACAGTAGACCAGTCTGAAAGCTCCTAACTGGCAAAAAAGAGCAGTTCAGTAGAGAGGAAAGACCATAGAAATTTAACCTTCTGGTGAGTCACAGCAGAGTTCTTTACTGTCCAGATTCACGTCACAGCTTTAGTAAACTGCTCTCTCTCTCAAGTGGCAAAGTTTCACTATATGTTGGCCTTTTTTTTTTTTTTTGCCCTTTTTTTATTGCCTGGCTACATTTTATTAAAGATTATTTCCTCACAACTTGAAATCTTCATCCACATTCTAAGACTTTTCATTTCCTCACCTGGAAAGACACTGGCATGCTAGCTGTCTCTTGAAGAAAATGGGATCTTCCAAACTTGCTGATCATCATGAAACAGAACAGGAATGCCATCACTCAGGAATGCACTTTTAGGGGTTCAGATTTAGAGCCTGTCTTCCATTAAGTCAGGTTTCAGTTAAGATCATGTCAGCCCCTGTACTAAAACTCTCTCTTAGTGCATATATTGGTTTGTTCAGAGAATATTTTCATTTCTCATGAATTGCTGGGTTGAATTCAGTTGAATTATTACAGTAAAACGTCACTGTTAAGTAGCTTGGTCTCAGGTCCCAGCTGTTGGGAACACTCAGTTTGTATTTAAACAGTAGACTAAACTG